TTGGCTCGTTAAGAACTCGAGTCGAGTCCATTTGATCCGAGTATTTATCGAGCTTTGATCGAGTCAATCTCGAATAGCTCGCGATCTGTCTCGTCTCATTTACAACCCTAATTGTTATTATTATCGACTTGGAAGTGATATTTGGTAGATATGATATTATTGTGATATTATTGTGATATATGCACCACACGCCACTTTGTCAAAGAGGATGGGTTAACTCTTCCATCGGGCCCAATTACAAGAAATCGAGCCAAACTGTTAAAAGATAAGCTTCAGACTGCAGGATAGGCTTTCATCAGCAAAGGATTATAAGTTCACATTGAGACTAAAGAATTTCAAGAAGGAAACTCATTCATTCTTCCACATAATACTACTTGGGCCTCCATAACCCAAGTTGAAGATAACTCAGGCCTAAATTACAAGATTCATGAATATGACTCTGAAATTAATTTCAAACCCCCTTAAATTACTAAAACCTTGTATAAAGTATCCCTTGCTAGAATACAAAGAATGGATCACTTTTCCTAAGTAGATTTTAGTTATTTAAGTTGTTTGTTATTATATTAGGATCAGACCCAAAGATGGTGATTGTTTGTAATGACAAAACCCTAGAAAAGTCCATCATTTTCACCCTCCATCGCATGCTCGGCTCTCCCTTGCTTCATCATGCATTGTCGCCCCTTCATCTTCTAGAAGTCTCATCTAGACCATCCATCAAACTAGAGGTTTCATCATGCATTCAAAAGCCTTGATTTTATTACAACCATTGAATCAAGAACTTCATCAATGGCCAGTATTCATGCCGCTCATTATAGTACAATTAGGACATATTTTTTTATTTTTTATCCCATACTTAGGCTCTTACTAGGATTCCTCCTCACCTATATAAAGGAGGCTTTCCCTTTATTGTTTCACACATCTTTCCTTTGAATAATAATACAACATTGAGTACGTTTTTGTAAGAGTTGATTGTCTTGTGCCTTCGAAGCATCTTTTCCTTTAAGTTGTTCTAAGTTCTTGAGAGAGAGATCTTCACACTCCGATTTGCTTTCTCATTGCAATTAGGAGGGCTGGTTAGAGCCGTATTGTCGAGTTTACATTTTTATTGCGACTAGGAGGGTTCAGTAGGATATATCCATCTATCTTCCATCTCCATAATTCATCATCTTCCTCCCCCATCATCAAAACCACCATCCTTGTCCCATTCTTAAAGTTTACGTTAAGCATATACCTACTGGGGATACATTTTTAAATCAACTTTTACGAAGATCCGACCGTCAGAATTTTAATCTGTCTTCTTCGTTGCGATCTTTATCTCGTTATCTTTCCAATGAGTATTCATCCATCCAAATCCATCAATAATATCACCCTTGCTGCCCACTATAAGGGGAGTTAACCTAATTCCTTTAGTTTCTTTTATTATCTTATTTACCTTTTTGTCCTTAATTTAAATTATCTTTATTTTATTTTCTTAACCTTATCTTCTTGTCTTAATATCAACCGTCAAAGTCCTAATCCAAACATCTTGTTGCTGCCCGCATCATTCACTCATCCTCTCGTTCTTTGATCGAGTCTAGAGCTTTCTAGGTTCCATCCCTCAACGAAGAGGAACGATCATCCTCCGCTTCCGTTTCTCTATCATATTGGGAACCAGTACTAGCACCAAGATCTTCCAGGCAGGCTCACACATGTTCCTACTTATCAACCTGGGGCAGTGATGGCACAAACCAACTCTTTAGGAGGAAGTTCTGTTGGTCTGAGCTTGGCTGGGGTCAGTGTGCAACATCCTAGAATGAATCAATGGCACGGTAGTTCTCATTTGAATGAATCTGAACAGATAAAAAGTCATGCTGCAAATGCACCACCCTTTAATCTTAAAGCAGATCCTTCTGCTGGTTTTCCTGGACCATATGGTGTTCAGAGTACAGGTTTCAATAATCCTAGGCCGGTAACTTCACGTCATCTAAGCAACTCTAACTTCCAATCAATACCTACGTATCAGCAGCCATCCCCAATGTACACTAACAGAGGGCCAGTAGTCAATAATGAAGCATCACCCAGGATTATCCCAGTTTCTGCTCTGAATCCATATCAGGGCCGGTGGACAATAAAGGCCAGAGTAACAAAGGGAGAACTTAGGCGCTATAATAATGATCGAGGTGAAGGTAAAGTTTTCTCGTTTGACCTTCTTGATTCTGATGGTGGGGAAATACGGGTGACTTGTTTTAATGCGGTAGTTGACCAATTCTATAGCCAGATTGAAGCTGGTAAGATTTATTTGATTTCTAGGGGAAGTCTAAAACCTGCTCAGAAGGCATTTAATCACCTTAATGATGAGCATGAAATATTTCTTGATAGCACATCAACAATACAGCATTGTTATGAGGATGACAACAGAATTCCACGACAGCAATTTAATTTCCGTACCACTAGTGATACTGAAAGTATGGAGAGCAATACCATGGTGGATACAATTGGTGTGGTATCATTTATCAGTCCTGCTGCTTCAATAATGAGAAAGAATGGTATGGAAACTCAGAAGAGAACCCTTCATTTGAAGGACATGTCTGGCCGAAGTGTTGAATTAACTCTATGGAGATCTTGTTGCAATGCTGAAGGACAAAAGCTCCAATATTTGTGCGATTCTGGAGAGTTTCCAGTTCTATCTCTACAACCCAGTTATTTATCGATCCTGATTTTCCCGAGGCTCACAGGTTAAAGGAGTGGTTTGTTAGTAAGGGGAGGAACACTCTTGTATCTATTTCCAGGGAAACATCAACTGTGACTAGAGAAGATAATAGAAAAACTCTCACAAATCAAAGATGAGAAGCTAGGAACTTCTGAGAAGCCGGATTGGATTACAGTAGTAACAAGGATTGCATACATCAAGTTGGACAATTTTTGCTATACAGCTTCTTCTATCATGAATGGGGATCGTCAATGCAACAAAAAGGTTACAAATAATGGAGATGGGAAGTGGTGGTGTGATAAATGCGATAGGGCAGTAGACGAATGTGATTATAGGTATATAATTCAGTTCCAGATACAGGATCATACAGGCCTAATATGGGCGACTGCTTTTCAGGAATCTGGTCAGGATCTATTGGGGTGCCTGCAAAAGATTTGTACCATTCAAGGTGTGAAAACCAAGATGATGAAAAATTTATGGAAATCACACGTCAAGTCATGTTTAATAAATATATATTCAAGTTGAAAGTAAAGGAGGAAATTTTTAGTGATGAACAGCGTGTGAAATCAACAGTGGTGAAAGTAGGGAAAAAAATTTCATCGGAATCAACATACCTTTTGGATATGATCAAGAAGATTAAAACGAATGATTTTGGTCCTTTTGCGTCAAAGGCAGAGTTTAGCAGTCCTAATCCTGGTCCGGAGTATGCAGGTGTTGGGATTGATGGAAGCAGAGGAATCGCACCAACAACTGCTAGTAGAGAATATGGGTTGCCGGTAAACCAAGGGGGTCAATATTGAAAGAATTAAAGTGGTTTTGGGCTTAGAGAAACTGCTTCAAGCATGACTGTATTCTGTAATAGTTGTGGTGTAACTGGTCATAGCTCTACAAATTGTCCTACCGTCATGAATGGTCCAGTACAGTTCATTGATAGGGACTATTCTGATAGAATGTATTCTGGGGCAAGTGTTGGCCGTGGTTCTGGAGAATGCTTTAAATGCCATCAAACCGGACGTTGTGCCAGAGACTGCCCAAACTCTGGCTAAATTTCTTTTAAATAATGGCTAAATTTGCCATCTGTTTTAGCTGAAAATTGAAACTTCTCATATTTTTATTTTGAGATCTAATTCATGGCTTCACAAGCTAATCATTAAGGTAAACACGGAACCTCACAACACCTTATTTCAAAGGTTAAACTAAATATATAGTCATCCGATTATTCTTGCAGTTTCATTTTGGTCACCTAACTATTTTTATTTTCAAATTATTACTAAATTTACATTTGTCACCCGTGTTTAAAAATTAATGGTTGGACTGAAGTGTCATAATAAGATAATACCACATCATCAATGAAAAAAATAAAAAAAAATACCACATCAATAGTTATGTTTATTTTTTAATGGTGGATGACCAAAACGGAAAAAAATATAAGTTTAGTGATAATTTTAAAAAATACAGTTATGTGATCAAAACAAAATTATGTGGACACTTAGGTGACTAAATATGTAGTTTACCCTATTTAAAAAAGTTTGAGTTCTTTTTACCTAGATAATATAAAAATTAGCCTCACCTTACTAAAATGATCAGTTTAACATATATTCCTTTTTAGAGCATTTTCAACCAACAACGTTTTATTTTAAGGTAAAAAATCCTAATATTTGATAGAATAGTCAATGAGGCCCTTATTCTTTTTTTTCCTGAATCATTTGGCCCTCAGTATTTTATTTTAAGGTCAAAAGACCCTTATTTTAAAGTGTTAATCATATATTAACTGACGATCTTCATCTAAATTTGGACTTTTTACCTTAAAATGAAAATGAGGCTAATTTTGGGATTATGCCTTTTGCCTATATGTGTTTATTTTTATAAGTTTGTGCTGTGCACTCCGCAACTCACATCTCTCATTGGGTTTTAGTGCAAGTCTCTGTATCAGAGTCTTAACCGCTATTTGACAAAAAGAGATTATCTTTTTGCACTTAAGAAAAATGTTGGAGGTATCCTTTTTCTTTTCCATTTTGGGCAGGAAATCCATAGTTTCCCTATTACCTTTTTGACTCAGTGAGAGAGAGTATGGGACCATGTTATGATCTGAGTTTGGTACGAGTTGGGTCCCCTATTTATCATGTGAAAGATATAAAGCCAGAGTGACGTGCACAGTTTTATGTGTCGGTGGTATTTGGCATTAGACCTCGAGTATTACAGCTTTCAGAGTCTTGTATTTATGGTCTGGAATGCTACCAAGATCTGAATTAAATTTAATTTTTTTCCATTACTTAGATCTTTCCTAAAAAGCTAATATTTGTTTCATCATTACCTGCACCTCATGTTATATATTAATGGAGTTTCTTTGAAGCTTTTGCACAAGGATTTGTTCAAACGAAATCCATTTACTTGTTCCTCTCTTTACCTAAGGAGAATCAAAATTGATATGCAAAGACAGTTTCTCGGTTGATTTCTTTCTGTTTTGACTGACTGGTGCCTTTTGAATTGCAGTAAGTAATTGTTTTTGAAACCATGAAGCCTAATGAAGGAAAATATCATGCACAGCCCGATAAATCTTTCAGATTGTCTCTGCAACGTTACTGATTCTTGTGCTTTGTGGATTTTCTTTCTATCTTGGTGGAATCTTCTGTTCCGAGAAAATTCGGTTGGAGGGCAATATAGTGCAGAATGTTTCCAAGACTGTTTCTTCTCGAAACGAGCCTGCTGTAAACCCCCTTCGAATCGAATCGGCTGCTTTCCCGGAATGCAGCATTGATTATCAGGATTACACTCCATGCACTGATCCCAGGGTAACACACACGAGTGTTCATTTAATGATGTTTAGGCTGGTTATGATAGATTACAAAATATTCTCCAAATATTTTGTATTTACTATTGTATATTTAGTTGCCTAAGTTATAGCCTAATTCCTAATTACAAAATATTCTCCAAATATTTTGTATTTACTATTGTATATTTAGTTGCCTAAGTTATAGCCTAATTCCTAAATTATAGCCTAATGGTTAGGATTGTATCTACTAATGACGGTGTATATATTGAATCCCTGTGGTAATGAAAAAGGCACGGAATTACATTCTTTCATGGTATCAGCTACGGTTGATCTATCCTAGCTTCTGCAACCCTATTTTTTTCTCTTCCTCTTCTTCTCTGTCTTCTGTCCTTCCGTCTGATATGGCTCCCACATCATCTTCCTCATCCTTTCACCCTGCTCTTGCTGTTTCTAACATCAAGACACATGTTCCCATCACTCTTGAGATGGAGAACGTCCAATATACAAATTGGGCAGAGTTATTCAAGGTCCATTGTCGATCTCACAAGGTTCTTCATCATATTATCCCACCGAAATCTAAGGACGGGGAGGCCACAGAGCCGACCATCTTTAGTCAGGAAGAACAAGAGTTGTGGGATACGTTGGATGCTGCTGTGGTTCAGTGGATTTATTCCACAATTTCGACAGATCTTTTGAATACCGTTATTGAAGCCGATGTTTCTGCCATGACTCTATGGAATCGTCTTCGCGATTTGTTTCAGGATAATGAGAACTCTCGTGCTGTTTCCTTGGAACACGAGTTCAACAACACCTACTTGAAGGATTTCTCCTCGGTTTCTGTATATTGCCAGCACCTCAAAACACTTTCCGACCAACTCAAGAATGTGGGTGCTCCGGTTTCGAACAATCGTCTTGTTCTTCGCATGGTGGGTGGTCTTACACCGGCTTACAAGGGAGTTGCTTCGGCTATTCGCCACAAAAAGGTACTACCACCTTTTTATGAAGTTCGATCGATGTTGGCCTTAGAAGAAACCAGCATGAAGGAGGCGACGGCTGATGATGCGATGATGGTGACTAATCATGACACTGATGAGATTTCTAATCATCCTCCTCCAGGTCGTGCACGTGGGAAACAGAACAAGCACCGCAACAACAACAAAAACCGCAAACCTACTAGTAGTGGAGTTCAGACGCCGGGTGTTGGACGTGGTGGCAACCGTGGAGGTGGTCCGAACTTGGGCGGTGGTCAGCAGGGTCCGATGCAACCAACATGGGCTATGCCTCCTTGGTGGACATGGATGCAACCACCTTGGGTCATGCCTCCTTGTCCATATCCGACTCAACCTTGGGGTAGGCAAGTTGGACCACGACAACCTGGTATTCTAGGAGCACGACCTCAGCAGCAGCAAGCCTATACTACAGCGTCCGAGTGGGCTCCTACGGATATTGAGTCCGCCATGCACACCATGTCTCTCTCTCAATCGGATCCAAACTGGTATATGGATACTGGGGCGACGTCTCATATGACATCAACACAAGGTAATCTCTCGTCTTATGTTAATATGAGCAAAGATAATGGTGTTACTGTTGGTAGTGGTCAGTCAATTCCAATTCATGGTTACGGTCATACCGTATTACCTTCCCCGAACCCACCTTTGTCTCTCAAACATGTCCTGCATACTCCGAATCTTATTAAAAATTTAGTGTCTGTTCGGAAATTTACAACTGATAATAATGTGTCAGTGGTGTTTGATCCTTGTGGGTTTTCCGTGCATGATTTACAGACGGGGAGACGTCTAATGAGATGTGATAGTACCAGCTCTCTCTACCCAATCACTCCCACTAGACCGCATCCAGCCTCCTCTCATACTGTTTTGCTTGCTTCAACGCTTTGGCATGACCGTTTAGGTCACCCGGGCGACTCCATTTTATCCATTCTTCAGCAAAATAAACTGATTGCTTGTTATAGTCCATCTAAGTCTACTACTTGTCAATCTTGTGTACTGGGAAAACATATTCGGTTGCCTTTTGTTCTTTCATCTTCTCAAACTTTCATGCCTTTTGATATTATTCATAGTGATATTTGGACTTCTCCGATTTTGAGTTCTTCGGGACATCGTTATTATGTGCTTTTTTTGGATGATTATTCGAAATTCTTGTGGACTTTTCCCATCGCTAATAAATCACAAGTATTCTCCATTTTTATAAATTCCAAGCTCATATTCGTACCCAGTTTGAACGAGATATCAAAACCATACAATGTGATAATGGGGGAGAGTTTGATAATGCCTCTTTTCGGCAATTCTGTGAGTCCCATGGCATTTCTTTTCGTTTCTCCTGCCCTTATGCCTCCTCACAAAACGGGAAGGCCGAATGAAAAATAAGATCCATTAATAATATCTTGCGCACACTACTTATTCATGCCTCTTTGCCACACTCTTTTTGGCATCATGCGCTTCATATGACAACCCATCTTTTGAATATTCTTCCCAGTACACTACTAGCTGATGCGTCTCCTCTACAAATTTTATACCACCGGGTTCCCTCTTATTCTCACATTCGGGTTTTTGGGTGCTTGTGTTATCCTCTTATTCCATCCACGACTATTCACAAATTACAAGCTCGATCCACTCCCTGTGTTTTCTTGGGTTATCCCGATAATCATCGAGGGTATAAATGTTTTGATTTATCCAACAATAAAATCATAATCTGTCGGCATGTACAATTTGATGAAATTATCTTCCCTTTTACCAAAGTCCATCAACCTAGTACAAGTGATTATGATTTTTTGAATGATGGCGTGTCGCCGTATCTTCTTCATCAAAACCAACCACAACAGACTCCACTTTCTTCTCCTACGACCCAACCAGTCATGTCTCCTCCAAACCCTTCACCAATTCGGCCCAGACCGCCCCCTGTTCCATTCGAACGCCCTGTCACCCGCAGCCAGCATGGTATCTTTAAGCCAAAAACTATATTTGACCCATCCGAGGCCCATACTATCACGGTTACGAGATCTCCTCTCCCACGTAACCCTGTGGTTGCACTTCGTGACCCGAATTGGAAGTTGGCTATGACTGACGAATATGATGCTCTTATTAAAAATAAGACGTTGGATTTGGTACCCCGTCCTCCTGGAGTTAATGTCATTCGTTCTATGTGGATTTTTACTCATAAAATAAAGTCTGATGGTTCGTTTGAGAGGCATAAGGCCCGTCTTGTAGGTGATGGTAAAACTCAGCGTGTTGGTATTGATTGTGGAGAGACTTTCAGTCCGGTAGTGAAGCCAGCAACAATTCGTAATGTGCTTAGTCTTGCCCTGTCGAAACAATGGTTGATTCACCAGTTAGATGTAAGCAATGCTTTTTTGCATGGTGACCTCAAGGGTTTATATGCACCAACCTATGGGATTTCGAGATCAAGTGCATCCTGATTATGTCTGTTTATTGCGTAAATCTCTCTATGGGCTCAAACAAGCCCCTCGGGCATGGTACAAGAGGTTTGCTAATTTTGTTTCTTCCATTGGTTTCTCTAACAGTAAATCAGATACTTCCTTATTTATTTACAAACACGGGTCGGATATGGCATACCTACTGCTTTACGTTGATGACATTATTCTGACGGCGTCTTCTGAGCATCTTCGCAAGTCTATAATGGCTCGTCTCAACTCTGAGTTTGCTATGAAGGATTTGGGTTTCTTGAACTATTTTCTCGGTATCAGTGTGACTCGACACAAGGGTGGGTTGTTTTTATCACAACAAAAATACGCTGAGGACATCATTGATCGAGCAGGCATGTATTCTTGTAAGCCCAGTCAGACTCCAGTTGATACCAAGCCGAAGGTGAGTGCCAACAGCGGTGCACGATATGCTGATCCAACTCAGTACCGCAGCCTTGCGGGAGCCCTGCAATATCTCACTTTTACGCGGCCGGATATTTCCTATGCAGTTCAGCATATTTGTCTCCATATGCATGACCCTCGGGATGAACATATGAACGCTCTCAAGCGTATCATCCGGTATATCCAAGGTACTCTTCATCTTGGTTTACATATTTCTCCTTCCTCCATTACTGATCTTGTCTCTTATACGGATGCGGATTGGGGAGGCTGTCCCGATACTCGACGATCCACCTCCGGGTATTGTGTTTTTTTTGGGTGACAATTTGATCTCATGGTCGTCCAAACGACAACCTACGCTTTCCCGATCAAGTGCCGAGGCAGAATACAGGGGAGTTGCCAACGTTGTCTCGGAGTCTTGTTGGCTTCGTAATCTTCTTCTCGAACTCAACTGTCCCATCCGTAAAGCAACAATGGTTTACTGCGACAATGTGAGTGCTATCTATCTTTCTGGAAATCCCATTCAACACCAGCGTACGAAGCACATTGAAATGGATATTCATTTTGTTCGAGAAAAAGTTACGCGGGGTGAGGTTCGTGTTCGTCATGTGCCGTCTAGGTACCAGATTGCGGATATTTTCACTAAGGGATTGCCCCTTATATTGTTTGACGATTTCCGGACCAGTCTTAACGTTCGAGATCCTCCCGTTTCGACTGCGGGGGAGTGATAGATTACAAAATATTCTCCAAATATTTTGTATTTACTATTGTATATTTAGTTGCCTAAGTTATAGCCTAATTCCTAATTACAAAATATTCTCCAAATATTTTGTATTTACTATTGTATATTTAGTTGCCTAAGTTATAGCCTAATTCCTAAATTATAGCCTAATGGTTAGGATTGTATCTACTAATGACTGTGTATATATTGAATCCCTGTGGTAATGAAAAAGGCACGGAATTACATTCTTTCAGGTTAGTGTTAGATTTGCTGTGCTGATGAGTTTATTGATTGTCACAGAGGTGGAGGAAGTACAGTTCGCATCGGCTTACGTTCTTGGAATGTCACTGCCCTCCGATGTTAGAGAGGAAGCAATGCTTGGTTCCACCTCCTGATGGCTATAAGCCACCAATCAGATGGCCGAAGAGTCACGATTAATGTTGGTACAGGTACTAATATAGCTTGTTTTTAGCTATGCCAATTTATGTCGAGTGGATCGAGTGGCTTCGTCTTTAGTTTACATGGTACTAACATGTTGTTGTGATTTCAGGAATGTGCCGTGTAATTGGATCAATAAGCAGAAGTCTAATCAGAACTGGTTGAGGAAACAAGGGGAGAAATTCATGTTCCCTGGTGGTGGCACTATGTTCCCTAGAGGAGTTAGGTTATATATATATATATATATATATATATTTGCTTTGCTCCCTAAGGCTACTAGAGAATTATAGGTGGCAGTGCCAGTAGTGCAAATGGAATAAGTTGGACCCTAACATAAAATTTTGTATTGATCCCTGGAAATCACTATTTTATTAGGGATAAACATATGATCAAGTCGAGTCAAAAAAAATTATCGCACAAAAGTTTGACTTGATTCTATTTGATTCAAAAGAATTGGAAGCAAATTTTTAATTATATAATAAGACTTAAATAACTCAATTTTTTTAATAATTAGTGAATTAATTTTTAAATTATAGTTAAGTGCATCAATTCGTATGATACATGCATATCACATATAAAAAATACGAATATATATATATATATATAACCGTTTAAATTATAATCGAGTAATATAATAAAATTATAAATATTTATAATTAAATTTAAACAAAAACTTGAACATTTCAACTTGATTTAAATTTCATAAATTCAACTCTAGAAAAAGGTTCAAATAAAAGTTGAGCTATAAAATGAGATTCACCCATTCAACTAGTTTATATTTTTTTAACTCGATTCAATCAAATGTTCATATTCAACAATAAATGGTTCTTAAGAATAGAAGTGCATTTTTATGTAAAAGTAACGAATTTAAAAATTCTAAAAAATAAATTATTAATATATAATATTAAAAATTAAAAATTAAAAATTAAAAAAAAATTGAAATTTTTAAAGGATAACCGTTGGTATCTATCCCTTGGATCCATTCATTGTGTGTGCAATGAATTTCCATGAAGTGGTCCAGTGGCGCGCTCCCAGGCGCCAATTCTCTAGCAACTCCTGATGCGGAAGCACATGAGAATGACGAAATTGTTGGACCGCTTAGTAGTGCATTTTGTTGGGATCAGGATCAGCATATTTTAGCGTCCTCGAAAACCGGGTGCTGCTAGACAAAAGAGTTAATTGCAGAAATTTTGAAGGGACTAAACCCGGAATGTTCCATTCCCAGCCGGTAAGTTTGTAAATGATATATTGACGTGTAACGTGGGATATCTTAATTACGACAGCTTTAACATATGGTGTAACGTGGGATATCTTAATTACGATGGTCTTAATTTATAAATAAGAAAATATTTTATCAAAAATATTATTATTTTTTAATATTTTTGGTAAAACGCTACTTAAAATATTATTTTTTCTATCGAAAATGATAATATTGGACGCTACCTAAAATGTTTAATATTTTCGGTAAAGTGTTACCTAAAACATTATTTTTTTCTATAAAAAATATTAATATTAGGCTTTACCAGAAATTAGTTAACGAAAATAACATTTTTGATAAAAAATAATATTTTAAGTAGTATTTTACCAGAAATATTATACAAATAATAACATTTCTAATAGATTTTTTTTATTAATTATATATTAAAATTATCGTACATCATAACTACCCGTGTCCACCTAGCTAAAATACTTAGTCGGACAGGTGGCTCCAATTTACGTGTAAATCACCATTCAACAACGCACTTCGAATATTCCACAAATAAAATAAATATATTGAATTCACCCAGTAATTTTAATAGTAAAAAAGATATTATATCTTTTTAAGGATTTTAAATTTAAATAATTAAATTTATATAATATATATTTATTTTTTCAAGTATATACATTTTTATGAGAATATACATTATTTATAATTAGAATATTTATAAACAAATATTATTTTATTACTCCTTAAAAAAATAAAATATGTTACTCCACACTTACCAAACCTAAACTACAACCCTTTTCTTTCATCCTAAGTGGACCTTTTAATATAAGGTAAATTACATCATTCATCACTAAATTTTATTTTCTCTCTTATTTTACTCATAATATTTTTAATATTTTCAATTTATTTATTAGACTTTTGAATTACTTCTACTTTTGTCACTACAAATTATTTTATTACTATTCTATGACATGGTATTTTTATATATTATTAAATATAAAAATAATTAAAGTAAATAATAAAATGATATTTTATTATTATTATTATATTTAAAATTATTTAATATAATCATTGTCCTATCTCATCACCATCGATCACTATCTAGGTTTAATTTTATATTTTAAATTATTTTTATATTAAATATAAATAAAAATGTAATGTCATATCAAAATAATAATAAAATAATTCATAGTGACCAAAATATGGGTAATTCTAAAGTTCAATGAATAAATTAAATAAATTAAAAGTATAATGAGTGAAATAGGAGAAAGTAAAGTTCAGTGATGAATTGTATAATTTACCCTTTAATATATATATATACATTTGATTCTTTTAAATTTCTTACTAAATTATATATTATAACAGATGCAAATACACCGAATTACTTGCACAAAATTTTTTTTGTGAACAAAAAGATTAAAAATACAGAGGATTAAGCTTCTACTGACAACGTGTAATCTTCAGCTTCCCGTTGGATAATATCAATGACTTCCCATGGTGGGGTGGAAAAAACAATATGAACTTATCCTCTAGTCGCGGCAATCTTCGCTAGTCTATCCACCTCCTTGTTTGCATTCCTGCTTATGTGCTTTAAATCAACATTCCAATTTCTGTTAATCAACTCATTCACGCAGTCGATAAGAGTGGAAATTGATCCTCTCTTTGTGTTCTTCTTTAACATTCGAACAACCTCCAAACTATCTGTTTCCACCGTGATTAGCCGCTCTCCTAGATTCCAAGCATGAGAAAGACCTTCATGGATACCCCATAACTCCGCTTCAACTATAGAACAAATTTCGATCGCTTTTGAGAAACCAAACATCCAACCACCATTCGAAGATCGAATAATACCTCCACATGATGCAAATCCGCTTCCTATGTCACAGGACCCATCGATATTAATCTTACACCAATTGTGAGGAGGCGGTTGCCAAACATCAGGCATAGTACATGAACAGTGAGAAAGCTGAATCGTTGATAAAGATGATTCCATTACACGGTTCGCTTCGAGAGTGAGGCGTCTGCTCATCTCCAATACAGACTCATGCTCAAAATAATCAGGATCAAAAATTCTGCTATTCCTATTCTTCCAGATTAACCAAAGGATTGAACCAAACCGTAAGTCCCAATCATTCTCCTCACGTGCATAAAACCCCGGGGAAGCGATATTGATTTGCATCCAATTTCTGATATCCCTTGTACAAAAATCCTCTAACTTTTCAGTTTTAACTAATGTTGACCAAATAGCCATAGCCATGTAACATTGGCGAAAAAGATGGTCTGATGATTCACCCGTCTGTCCACAAATTCCATAATTGCTAGTTGTGGCCATATGTCGTCGTACTCGCTCTGTATTAGTAAGAAGCTGATCATTCGCTAGCAACCATAAAAAAAATTTAATCCGCTGCAGTCCACGATACTTTGAAATCACCTCCCACACTTTATGCGTAACGTCATTTGAAATTCCCCGCCTCAACTCATAAGCTGATTTAACAGAGAAATTCCGATCAACGCTCCATTTCCAACCTAGAGCATTCATTCGACAGCTTTGTCGTGGGGGTATTGTTGCTGCCAGGCGTTGAACGATGGTGTTCGACAGTTTATCAATGATGAATTCCTAACGCCATTGACCATTATGATCCACCATAGAAGACACCGACTGCCTTGGAAGGTTATCTCGCTCTGCTATATTAACAGCAAAGCTCGCAAAAGGTCCCAAATCACAAAGCCAATCCTCCCTCCAAAAATCTACATTACAACCATTACCAATATTCCAAACAAAGCTTTGTCGTACCTCATTCCATACTTGAGAAATACCCTTCCAAACATGCGAGCTCCTCGTGCGATTAATGGATTCGGGGATCAATTCCACCCATTTATATTTAGAACGTAGCACTCTAGCCCATAGCTGATCGGAATTAACCACTAGTTTGTAAGCTAGTTTCATGAGGAAAACTTCATTCTGAACACTTAATTTTCGCAAACCCAGGCCACCGTTAACAGTTGGTTTTACAAATATTTTCCCAATGCACAAGAGGTAATGATGGATAGACTCGGAGTTGGAGCCAATCAATAACCGAACAATACTTAACAAGTGATAGGTGGAAATCCCAGCTTGGCATAGAAGAAAAAGAGTGACCAAACGAACGGCTACATGTTGACTATTAATTAAATGTTTTATTTTTAGGGTAAATTATGCGTTTAGTTCGTAAACTATCAGTTTTGATCTTTTTTAGTATTTAAACTTTTAATTGTTTTAAAATTATACCTATCGTTTAGTTTTTATTTCGTTTAAGTATCTTGGCATTAAAAATTCAACGGGTGATTTACACGTGACACATTTTCAGTTATATAAAAAATTACACTATTCATCACTCAACTATCTTCTCACTCCTATGTTGGTCACTAAAGTTTAATTTTTTTATTTTAATTACTTAACTTTCAAACCACTCAATAATTTAATCACTATAACTTTCAATTTTATTTTTATTTTTAATTATATAGTAATAAAATAATAATAAAAATATCATGTCACAAAAATTATAAATAAGATAAATTAGAGTGATTAAAATGGGAGTAATTTAGGTTGATGAATAGGTTGTGTGTTTAGGTTGTTCTAGCCATCTGAGTTGGTTGTATTAGTGTAGTTAGATTAGTTTTTAAGTGTTATGTTGTAACAGAAGTTTGTTAGGAACTGACTTTGTATTATTCTTATGTAAATAAATTCTTAGGCACTCTTTTCCTCATTCCAATGTCATTCACGTTACTGTCATAACATGGAGGTTATGAAGGGGTTTTTTTAATGAGACTTACTCTATTTTTTTTTTTTAAAATGAGAGTAATTTAAAAAAAATGAGTAGTTAAATTGAAATTTTTAAATTTTAGTACCAAAATAAGAGTGATAAGATAGTTGAGGGATGAATGATTAAATTTACCTATAAAATGTTGTGCAATTAAGTTTTTAGTGATAAAGTATCAGAATGAAACAAAAACTAAATGTCAGATATAATTTTGAAAAAATTGAAAGTTTAGGTACCAAAACAGAATAAAATTGATATTTAAATACTAAACTTATAATTTACCCTATTTTTATTCAATTTGATTTGACTAAATTTTAAAAGTGAAATTTTAATATAAATAAGTAAAATAATATATATTTATATTTTAAAAAATAAAATCAATGAAACATAACAACAATTATTTATATTTTCCTATTTTTATTTAAAAATATTAAAAAATAATTTAAAATATATTATAATAATTACTCATAAATATAGAGAAAGATTAACCAATATCTTATTTTACCAAAAATTTGGTTCCGGCTGACCTAAAATAGAATCGAATCAAAATAACGCCTTTTCTTGGTTCACACACAATGTGAACTGCAGCCTCAACCAATAACAGTATAAAAGGCAAAGGCCAATCTGTGTTCCGCGTCATAATTCCAAAGGCACACAAAATTCTTCCTTTGCGAGAGAGAAATAGCGACGCTCTGGATTCCACCTCCTCCCGTCCTTGGCGACGGTGTTTATACCTCTTCATCTTCAGGTTTCTTTTTTTTACCTCGATTTGACACGATTTCATCTTTTCCTCCTTTTTTTTGGTGTTCAGGGTAGATTAGAGTTCTTCTCAATGGGATCTATTCTTCGATTTATGCGTATCTATACTTTGTTTTTCTGCGTGTTATAATTACGGATTCCCATTGCTTTAGGTGATTTTACCGATAAGGATTTGCGTGTTTGATTTATGAGAAAATATCTTGGGATTTGTCGTTCTCTTCCTAAATTAATACGTTGCTATTGCTGTTTCATGATGATTGTTTCACAGGGTTCCCTGCGTTGAATTTTTTCATAAATCGTCATCAACATCACGCCAACAAACCTTGAGCCATCGTTGTTATCTAGAATTGGGCATTGATTTATTGTGATCATTTGAGTTGCAGCTATATTGAGAATTATTGATTGAATATTGCTCTAGATACTCTAGTCTCAGTCCTTTTTTTTATATAATCGCTTCCTAAGATGAACATTATTCCACTTTTTTGCACATAGTTGCATTATGCATATTATATTCTTGAATTAGTATGTATTCTTTTCTGAGTGTTACCATTTTTTCCATTCCTTCATTGACAAGCAGCGATAAGTTTAGTTTAAATATTGTTCATTAGTTTAGTTATGGTACTATGTCCTCATTTTGTAGTAGAAATCTAGTGTACCATATTAGTTTATGTGCCCTGTTTAGATATATCTAAACTTCAAGTTTTGATTGATGTTGTTTTTAGGTTAGATTGCACCTGACTTGGATTTAAAGAGATTTACTTTCCTTTTGAAGACATGGAAAAAGCGTGCTTCTGGTCAAATTGTTACCTTCTCCGAGTGTTTTCGTTCGAAGAAGTACTCGATTGGCTGTTTCTTTTTCATGGAGATTTCCTTTTGGTTTCCTTTGTCAACTGCACTTAGTCCCCAGTATCGTTTTATCACTCAACACAGGAGCTGGAATGCTAGTTTCTTCTGAGATAGGTGTTGGATCTTTCGCAGACTTCTTCAAGTAAGCAGTTATATCTTCTCTGTTTTATTAAAAATCATATTGGTAGGATCTGAATTTTTTATTTGGTGAATTGATGATACAACATCCAGTTGAAGATTTTTGGAAAATGCCTTTCTGGTTCTCATTATCTTTGCATAATTATGTTCTCTTATACCTGTCAACTATTTGTGCCTTATCTATCCTTTAACGAATTTTCCTTCCCATTCTTTTACTGTCACAGGTCTGAACACACTTGTTAGACAGTTGGAAGTTGCAAGCTAGGCATTAGCATCTCTAGTTTTCAATTATTTTTCTGTTGCTCCTTATGGAAACAGATTAGTGACGAGATATTGGTGTATTGAGCACTCTGCAACAGTTTCTATTTAGCCGAGATGCGTTGACTGCAATTAAGTTTTTAAACCAAGTGAGAGTATTTGAGCTTGGGATCTGTCCTGTTTGATAGAGCCAATCATTCATTCTGGTTGCTTTCTGTCAGTATGTTTTGTGGAGTTGATCTGTTCCTCGTGTTTGGAACCATGTTCTCTCCTTGAAGCTGTGTGTATAGTAATGAATAAAGCTCTGAAGCCCATCCGTCATAAGATTTCTGGTTTTATGCTTTTGCATGTTGCCTGAGGAAATTGATGATGAACTGAGGTGACCAGAAACATAGTTTGTTTATGTTTTATTGTTTCTAATACAATCAATCTTCTACTGAAGATATATGTCATAGGACTACCATTGTTTCTTACACATCTGTTGAATAAAGAAAGGGGTACTTTTTCTGCTGCAAGAAAATGGAGAGGTATGCAGTTTTATCTGGGGGATGTCTAAAGGGTAATAATTTCTGCAAGTTTTGTTCATCAATTTTTGCATGTATTAGGTACAATATACTTAAGGAAGTTGGTGACGGGACGTTTGGCAGTGTATGGCGTGCTATTAATAAACTGTCTGGTGAAGTTGTGAGTATGCCCACAATTTTATTTATTTGAAATCGTAAAAACATGTCTTTTGATGTGTCGACTCTGATACAATATTTTTTAATACGTATCATCTGTTTTGAAGGTTGCAATTAAGAAAATGAAGAAGAAATATTACACTTGGGATGAGTGTGTGAATCTGAGAGAAGTTAAGGTAGTATGATTCACTTTCTTCTTATTTTGATTTTCTTCTTCATATGCATGATAGTCTGTTTCATTTGACAGTCACTGAGGAGACTGAATCATCCCAATATTGTGAAGCTTAAGGAAGTTATCAGGGAAAATAACATTCTGTACTTTGTGTTTGAGTATATGGTAAGTTACAGCTTGAATTTGTGTTGTATTTATAATTAGCCCTATGATCTTTGGGGCCTTGATTACCTTTCTCAAAACATGCATATATTTCAGGAATTCAATCTTTACCAACTCATGAAAGACAGAGAAAAGCTTTTTTCAGAAGTTGAAATCAGAAATTGGTGTTTCCAAGTTTTTCATGGTCTTGCATACATGCATCAGTGTGGATATTTTCATCGTGACCTAAAGCCAGGTAGTGAATGAATTTTTGCCTACGAATTCATGTTTATTTATCTTATAATATCTCAAAGAAATATTATCTAAATAGCTTTCCTTCTCTTTGTAGAGAATCTGTTGGTTACTAGAGATACAATCAAAATTGCTGATTTTGGTCTTGTGCGGGAAATCAGTTCACGACCTCCGTACACAGAATATGTGTCAACACGCTGGTAATTTGATACTTTGAGGATTTAGTTGGTTTTCCACCTTTTCTGTTCTTTTTTATACTTATTATGACTATCCAAGTCTTGACATGTTTAGGTATCGTGCCCCTGAAATACTTCTCAAGTCACACCTATATTCTTCAAAAGTTGGTAAGTTTTCAGTGTAATCAGTACTTATTCACTTAAGAATTGAAATGTTGGCAATCCTGTTTATGTTTCCCCCCCTTTGCTTGCAGATATGTGGGCAATGGGTGCAATAATGGCCGAATTGTTCACCTTACGTCCTCTTTTTCCTGGTGCTAGGTATTTTCTTTTTAATTTACTATTTTTTCTGTGTACCTCCTTGAGATTATGCACAGCTTTAGATAGACAGTAGGTTATATCTATTTATCTTTTCTTATTTGTTTGACAACTACGGGTATTCACCTGGTTGTTCACTGGGTTGATGGTAACCTTTCATTATTCATGCAGTGAAGCAGATGAGATCTACAAAATTTGCGGTGTAATAGGTACTCCAACTATGACTTCATGGCCTGACGGGCTTAACCTTGCAAGAGCCATAAACTACCAGTTCCCACAGGTCTTACTCTCTGATTCATGATCACACACATAAGTTCACAGCATAATTCAAAGTGTTCTCTACCAATGCACAGTTAGTGTGGATTATCATATGAGTGATTGGAATCTAATATATATTTTTTTATCTGTCATTGAACATTAAAGTTCCCTGGTGTGCATCTGTCCATGTTGATTCCATCAGCAAGTGACGATGCAATCAACCTTATTACAGTTAAGTGCATTTCTGCTCTCTGTTGCTTTTTTTAGTCCTCGTGATGGGATTATTTCAAGAGAAGTTGACGTTTGCTGTGCTTCTTGTTTTTAGTCTCTCTGTTCATGGGATCCTTCCAAAAGGCCAATGGCTGCCGAGGCCCTTCAACATCCATTCTTTCAGGTTGTGTCTTTTATAGTTATTTAAATGTTCTTAATATTGTTCTGGGGTGTTCTTTTAGGAAGTCAGAATGACAATCATGTTGTAGCTAGGGCTTTCCTAACATAATTTCCCTTTGATTTTGCAGAGTTGTTATTATGTTCCACCCTCTCTTCGTGCCAGAGCAGCTGTGTCTAGAACCCCTCCATCAGGTTTGTTTGACACTCTTACCGATCTCCCCCTCCCCTCTTTTTCTTTCCGGAGAGCCTTTTACCAAGCTTTTATTTATTTGTTACTTTTAATTTGCATGCTTAGTTGAGGGGAAAGGAACATTGGAACAACAATCATATAGGAGAATCTCTGGGGCTCTACCTACTAATGCGAAGCTGACTGACAACCATTCAATTGTGAAGACAAATGCATTTTTGGGCACAGGTAATGGAATTTAGAGTGTGTAACAGTGCTGAAATGTTTCATTTATGATTTTGGATAGGGTGAATATGCACGTGATAAATATGTTTTCTTGCTAAGTATGTAATAAAACTATAAACCAACTGCTCTATTGAATTAAGTTCGAGTCTTCTGTTCAGTGATGGATTAGCAATTAAATCATCACTATTGTGTTTTTGATGGAGCTGTAGTTCAACCCTTGCCTTGTTACTTTATCCTAAATTTAACTCATTAAGGTTTATGCGATTGGATTCTTTACTAATGGTTGATTCTCGCAGGTGTGCAACGCAAGCTGGATATGGATAATCAGGTAATTGTAATCTTATATGCCTTAGTTGTTCTGCTTATCTAGTAGTAGTGTTTTTGTGTGCATTGCATCTAAATATGGTCTTTCTTTTCCCACCTTAAAGTATCTTAGTTGGAATGACAAGTCCTCGAAGATCTCTGCCAAACAACCAAGGTATTGGCCACCAGGAAGAAAGAGTCCATGTAAGTGTGCGTGTATATATATATATATATTGAATCGTCGCTGTGTTTTTTTATCATGACAGCGCTGATGACATGAAAATATAATTTTTGTCCAGTTGCTGCCGCATCCATCAACAAGGATCGGAATGCCATTGGAGCTGATGTAGCGAATAAGTTGGCAAATCTGACAATTGGGAAAAGGAGGCCCTATGTTCCGCCGTTAAGGCACTCTACTTATAAAGGCTGGGGTTCAGTGGACAGCGGAGCCTAGCGACATGTTTCGTATACCGATCCATGTGATACTTGGATCAGCAGGAAAAGAAGTAGCATGTGATGTTGTTGAGATGGCCTAGCGTCATGGTTTCTGTAATAATAATGCTTTTCATTCGATCGATGGACCAAATATCCAAATGAGTGAGCTTTGGTTTATGTCTTTAGTTTGTGCGTTTTCCTAATACTCAAGTTTCTGTGTTGTTACAATCTATAGACTAGTCTGGTGTCTCTTTGACCTTTGGTTTGATAGATAAAATGCAGTTTGCCAGATGTGTTGAAAGTCAGAAATGAGAATCGAATCCAAACATAAATTTACAGTAATTATAATACCAACACCAACAATTTCAAATTCATTTCTTTAAGTATCAAAAATTAATAATAACAGACAAAACAACAGTTGAAATCGAATCTTTTAAGGGTAGAATCACCGTTTTAACTATAGGGTTGGTATCAATATGATTGTTATTTTAAAATTTAAAATTGAGTTAATATGATCATTTAACTATTTAATTGGTTCTAATACATTTACTTGTCGTTAATATTTAACGGAAGTGTATATGTCGTTAATATTTAACGGAAGTGTTTATATAGTACTTAATAAAATTTGTATGGTTACATATTTGATCTTCTATACTTGTATATTTAATCAATTTGGTCTTAATTTTAATTTTATTTAATAAATTAATTATCAAATTAAGATGTGACATGAGTCAACATATGATCATGACATGTACTACATCTGACATGATAGAAAATAAATCAAAGATAAACTATATTTATCTTATAATATTATTTATGATAGAAAAATAAAGAAATAAAATCATTTAAATGAGGATTTAAACCTAGACAATTATAAAATATGAGAAAACCAAAATCAATTAAACAAATATAATTTTTTTATAATTAAGTAATAAATTATATATATTATAAATCTTATTTAATATAAGATTTAAAAATTAAAATAAATTTATTAGTTTTATATATTTAAATTTAATTTAATATTTTTCACATTAAGTTTATAATTAACTATTTCTAAATTAAATTTAGTATTTTGTCATATTTATATTTTTAAAAATAAATATAAAATTATAAAATTAATTATGAAAATATTAAAATTAGTTTAAAATGTAAAAAGACAAATTTATGTTAAATTTTAAACCTATATTAAATATGATTTATAATATATATATATATATATATATATAACTATTTAATTATAAAAATATTATATTTGTTTAACTGATTTACGTTCTCTCATATTTTATAATTGGTCTAAGTTCAAATCCTCATTTGAATGATTTTTTTTTGTTTTTCTATCATTAACAATATTATACGATAAAAAGAGTTTATTGCAATATTTAATCAATTGAAGCATTTGGCCTAGTGGCTTGAGTGTTTTTCTTCTAGTTAAGTGACCCAAGTTTTACCCCAAACGTTGGTTGGTTAATTTATTAAATAAAATTAAAACTAAAATCAAATTGATTTAATGTACAAATAGTAATGATCAAGTATATAAATATGCAAATTTTATTAATTATCACGTCAAATATTTAAGACAAGTGAACAATATAATCACCAATTAAATAGTGTGGTCATAACACAAGGTGGGGTTCTATCGTCAACTAACCGAAAAAATGAGATCTTATTGTCATTAGAGACGAGATCGGAGATGGGAGAACACGTAGGACCACGTGTTTCGCTGATGTAATCAATGTTTGCCTGTTTGGGATCTCTTACGTGTGATACGTGGCTGAGATTTTATCATCAGATAGTGATTTGAATTTGTGTGTTATTTGTGAGTTATGACCAACCGCCTCCATCAATATTTCATGGTATTATATTAACAATCCTTTATATAGGATGAGTCTACTTGTTGTATATCACAACACACTATTAAAATAATGTGTCCAACACATCATTAATTAAATTGTTTTTATATAATTAATATTAAAAAGATAATTATATGATTAGTACCTATACTATCTTTTTATTTTATTTTAATACCTAAACTTTTTTTCTAAAACCATTAACGACAATGTTGATATGGAATACATGTCAATTTTTTTATTTTTTTAATTTCTATATTACATTTCTATTTTTCTGTCAGTATTTTTTAATTGATTTTATTCAACCAATTAAATGGTGATACGTGTCATCAACTATGTGGATAAAACAAAACAAAGTATTCTTGCTTTTAGGATGAATTGAGCCTAAAACTCTTACATGAACTGCATTGCACTCAACCATTGAGTTACACTAGTAATTTAAGTTAATTTCACCACATTTCGTATTTAACTTATATAATAGTAACACCAAAAAATAATATTTTTCTTTAATTATAAAACTCGAATATGTGACACTTTAAATTAATGATCGAAAGCTTAATCATTCAACTATAACGTAAATCTATTTTTATTATAGCAAACTTAATACTTATTTATATCCTTATTAAATTAAAGAATAATTTTCACTTTATTTGCAAAGAAAAAATAATTAAATAATTATAGATATATTTATAAATTTTATATTAAATTATTTTAGAATTTATATTTATAATATTATAAAATAATTTTAAATTATTTATTTAATTTTTAAAATCACATTATTTATTTATTCGAAATAATATTAATTATTTATTTTAAATAATTTATTTTTTACATTATATATTTAATTATAAATAATATTGTACGAAACCAAAGTTATAGTTGAATACTAAACGTATAATTAACCCTAAATTTAAAATTATTTAAAATTAAATAGATAATTTAAAAATAATACTATTTCAAATAAATAAATAATTTGATTTTAAAAATTAAATAAATATTTTTATAATATTATAAATATATTTTTATCATTATTTCGTATAATTTTTATAAAAATGTATTAATTATTTTTTTATTTTATTTTTTTAAATAAAATGAAAAATTATTCTTGTAATTTAGTAATAAATAAGTAAGCATTAAGTTCCATATGATAAAAACATTCACACTACAGTTGAGCACTGACGGAGCTAGGAGCTGTTGAGGGGTGTCAAAGTTTTCCAATTTTCTTTTTTTTATATAAAAAATTATATAAATATGATGTAAAATTAAGAAAATGAAACCCCATATAAAATAGTTTTGACACTGTATATATTTAGGGTGTTTATTTGTTTAATTCAATCATTAATCGAACTAAATTTTTATTAATCGAATTAATGAATTTTTTCTTTAATCGTTAATTGAATCAAATTGAATAAAATTCAATTAATTCGATTGATCACCGAATTAATCAAAATTTTTAATATATTTTTTAATTAGATAAATTTTAATTTAATATAGATATTTTTTTCAATTTGGGTCAAAATTTAATTAGATCTTGATAATTTAATGGATATAGTGTGATTAAAAAATAATTGGATCTTAATTCTTAATAGATTTGCGCTTAAAATATGTATTTAATTATTTTTGGCTAATTCGATTAATTCAATCAATTAACTGATTTTAAATTGAATTAACTGTTAAATATTGAAAAACATTAATTGTTCCCCAACCGAACTAATTTAGTGGTGGGCCATTTTAACTGAATTAAGTAAATTCAATCGATAAATTCGATTAAAACCGAAAATGAACACCCCTAGTATGTATGTATATATTTTCTTTTGATTAATGTTTTAATAGATTTGTAATAGTCTTATGTTACTTTAGCTATATTTTACATTAATTTATCGAATTCTAATGTAATGCATTAATTTATATGACCTTATTTAGATACCATAATTTAAAATTGTGACATCGTATTATGAAATTTCTAGCTCTGCCCTTGCAGTTTAGTGATTAAGCTTTCAATGAGTAATTTAAAGTGTCTCATATTTGAATCTTATAATCATCGAAAAATATTGATTTTGTGGTGATACTATTATATAAGTTAAATACAAAATGTTATGAAATTTAACTAAATGGCTAGCTGTTGGGATTTTCAGAAGCTCGAATCGACAATCGGAATTGCTTGCAATGAGGGTCGGGATCGGTTTTTGTGTTTAGGGAGTAAGGAGATTGAAAGATAGATAATTGCACAGCGATTTAGAGTTGTTCGACTTCTCAACCAAGTCTATATCCACTACCTTAGCTCCTCACCAAGGATTTTCCAACAAATTCACTAATTTGTTCTTTCTTTTGAGGACAAAGAGTAACCTTACAAACTCCCTATTTTTCCGGGCTAAACTAGAACATTTCCCTAGCTTTTACACGGGATTAGTTAGAACCTTTTCCCCTTTACAAAAGGATAAAAGAAGTAAACAAATAAACCTCTCAAAGGTAGGTGTTTACAAGATTGAGCTCACAAGAACAAAATATTTACAAGAGAAAGATGAAATAAGAATGAAAAACTCTTCCCTTGTGTTTGATTGCTTGAATAGTTATTCTCATACTTCTTCAAGTGTCCTTAGCTTGTATTTATAGCTTGGAATGTGTTTGATGTCGTATATAATCATTGGGGATGTTTTGGAGCCGTTTGGGGATGATTTTTCTACTCAAAAAGCCTGCCCATAACATGGTGCATCGGTGCACTATCAAGTTGCATCGATACCCCTTCATTAAATTCAAATAAACTAGCCGTTGCAGCCTTGGTGCATGGATGCACAGCAAGGTGCATCCATGCACTAATTGCATTCAAAATGGAGTGCATGGATGCACTACATGGTGCATCGATGCACTAGTGGCAGGTTCATGGATGCACTGCAGGGGTGCATGGATACACTTTGACACCCTTTAGTATTTTTGCTCAAATCCGAATTTAATGGACTTTGAATTATTTTTGAAACCTTTTTAAAACTTTGAATAAATTCAATTCAAGTCCAAAAACATTTTACCTTTAAATTTGTTATATCGAAACATAACTCAACAATCTCCCCCTTTTTGATATAACAAAACATTTGAAAAATTGTTTTTGGCAAAACTCCCCCTTAATAAAATGTTTAATGAAAAAGATACCAATTGTTAACAAAATGATATCAATTGTTACCAATTGTTTGAAAATATATGAAAATGTTAAGCTCCCCTTTTTCATTAAGAAATTGAATTTTTCAAACCAAACTACTCCCCTTTTTTGTTATATAAAAAATAATTCAATCTTTGAAGTTCAAAATAACTTTGGAGAGTAAGTAGTAAATTTGACAT